AAATATTTTTATTTTAAAGGTTACATAAAAGTAAGGTAAAAGATTTATGAGTCATTAACATTTTAAAGTTTATTTTAATTATTATTTTTGACAATTTGGCGGTCATAATATACCACCTATATATAATTGTGACCATACTAAACACGTTGAAACAACTGAGGCTTTATTAAATCGACTCTTGATAAGGTGTTGGTTCTTTGAAACGCAGGGCTGAAACCAAGTACTGCCTACTACTATCGATGTGGGGATCCTACACATGGTATGAGTAAGATACACAGTTTCAAGACAATGCCGGTTTCTAGCCCCACGAGTTACCCCAGCCGAATAGCAATTGTTGGTGATACTGGTCTAACTTACAACACAACAGCTACAATTAGCCACTTGGTTCAAAACTCTCCGGATCTTGTTTTATTGGTCGGTGACATGAGTTATGCAAACTTGTATCTAACGAACGGGACTGGCTCAGATTGTTACTCTTGCAATTTCTCAAATACGCCTATACATGAGACGTATCAGCCACGTTGGGATTATTGGGGTAGATTTATGGAGAATCTTACTTCTAAAGTTCCACTTATGGTGATTGAAGGAAACCATGAGCTTGAACTGCAAGCTGGGAACAAAACATTTGAAGCTTATAGCTCAAGATTCGCTCTTCCTAATGTAGAAAGTGGCTCTACTTCGAAGTTTTATTATTCCTTTAACGCTGGTGGGATTCACTTTGTTATGCTTGGTGCCTACATCGACTTTGCTAGATCAGGTTTGATTTATATCCTCACTCTGACCTCTTTGTTTACATGTTTGTGTGCGTCTCTTTCTAAGGTTTTTGTCGGTTTTTTCAGGGGCGCAATACGAGTGGCTAAAGAGGGATCTTGCTAAATTCAATAGATCGGTAACTCCATGGTTAGTAGTTACTTGGCATCCACCATGGTACAGCACTTACACAGCGCATTACAAAGAAGCTGAATGTATGAAAGTAGCTATGGAGGAGTTGCTTTACTCTTACCGTACCGACATTGTCTTCAACGGACATGTAAGAACCTAAACACAAACCTGTCTTAATATCAGAGCCGGTTTTGGGCATAGTGACATAAAAAAATTAGCATATGACCTCCAAAATACTATATGTTTTGGCCCCCAAATGACTTTTAAAAACATGTTTAGTAACTGTTTTAAGCCCCATAAATTTTAGGGTGGCTCTTTGATTTGGTATGACTGACTTTTTTTTTTCTTTGTGTGAAAACATGTTTGAAGGTTCATGCTTATGAACGGTCTAACAGAGTATACAACTACCAACTAGACCCATGTGGTCCAGTTCACATAGTAATTGGTGATGGAGGTAACCGTGAAAAGATGGCGATTGAGCACACCGATGAACCAGGTAAATGTCCTGACCCATTATCCACACCAGATGCAGCCTTGGGTGGGCAATTTTGCCCTTCGAACTCCACCACAACCGGTGCGTTCTGTTGGGATCATCAACCTCCTTATAGTGCCTTGAGAGAAAGCAGCTTTGGCCATGGAATCCTAGAGGTAACGGTTTTAACTAACTCCTAAACACCTGAATCACATTAGGATTAGACTCTAATTTAATCTGATTACTTGCAGATGAAGAACGCGACATGGGCACTATGGACATGGCACAGGAATCAAGACACAAACAGTCAAGTTGGAGATCAGATTTACATTGTGAGACAACCTGATCTATGTCCCCCTCACAACGTCACAACCTGATCTTGTCCCTGTTAACCATTGCTGAGCTTGAAGTTTAAACGGAAATGCTCTAATAAATGATTTGGCTTACAGCCTCATCCAAACAGTGATTTTTTTTGTTTGTGTTGTGTGTACACTATTGGATGTAGCAAGTATTTAAATTTTACCCCAACATAATAAATTTTTAATATTTCTATATAAAAGGGAAAATTTATTATTTGGAACTGAGCCAACGTAATACATGAAAATCCTAATACTCAAAATACGACAAAGAATTCGAGTTAACAAAATTATGGTCTCTCATCGTTTTAGATTTTTATTTGTTATATTTTTTTGTTGTATATTTATTTGTGCAAATTGTATATGATCTATTTAGTAATTATATGTATAATCTATTTAATATCTAATCTATTAAAAGAGAAGTCACACGACTTTAGTTCATGTGTGATATTTTTTTATTTGGACCATCATTAGAAAGTTTGTTAAATTTTATAACATAATTATAAAAAAAAATTCTTATCTTTAATCTATTATTAAAACATAAACATTACAACTTATTTTATGTGGATTTTAAAGTTGGACCTCGTATTATTTAGATTATCTTAATTTTTAATTCAATCTTTAATAAGCTAAATTTTCTTAAATAATTTTACACTAATAATCATAATTATTTTCTTCCATATTTCATATAATATTTCTAATTCGAATACACTGTATTATTCAATCAATATATTAATCTATAAATATGTATTGTACTTCCATTATAAAATAAACTATATTATATATTTTTCATTTTTGTCGATTGTTTGTAGACAATCGAAACCTACATCTAATATTGCTTATATTGATACTATCAATACTATTAACCATTGCTATCTCAATACTATGAAATTGACTAAATTCTATATTTTCTTTGTCCATATTCATTATACGGCAAACTTTAAACTATGAATGGACATTTGAGAACCATCCGAGTTCGTTACGAATCTATTTAGGTTTCAAAATTTTTAGGTTAAAAATTTCATCTCCATTCGATTAATTATAAATTTTGGTTCGGGTTCATTTCAGATGTTTACGGATTTGGATTTGAATAACCAGTTTAATATGTTTTGACCGTATGTATATCTACAATACACTTATGAAAACAATTAATACAAAATATAGTTTTAATCATGTTGTTTAGTCACATAAAATAATAAAATAAGTATAAACAAACTCAAAACTATATAAAAGTAAACAATATTAAATTTATATATAATTTGTTTAAGCAAAAAGAAAACCCGAGCGGGGGCCATGACATGATCTAGTATATATTTAAGTTGTTAAAAAAGAGAAATTAAAGTTTCAAAAAAAAATGTTCCTAGAAGATATCAAGGAACTCTAGGACGAAGAACAGGCGACTTTTACGCCTTCTGGTCACACGTTTTGTAAGTTCTGTTCTAAAGAGCATAAAGGTCATTGTCTTGTTCGCAGCAATTCACCTCTCCTCATTGTAGGCCCATGCGTCCAGGTGGATCCGACATTAGAAAGCGATCGTTACGTATTCCGGTGGAGTGGTCGGAACGCTATATAAACCGAATTTAACCAAACCCATCGAACCAAGATTTTCGGTTTTCAGTTTCAGTCCTGTTTCAAGCTATATAAACCAATTGGTGATATTTTAAAATATTTTAAGTTATCAGTTTGATTTGGTTCGCACTTCTAAACCGATCAGGTTTTCGGTTTGTGTGAAATTTCTATGATTCCAACCTCATCAAGAAATTATTTATTTTACAAACTGAACTTTATGATAACTACATATTATGTCGAGAGAATCCTCTGGCGAACACAAACAAAATATTAACATGCTACAATATGGTAAAATGTAAAGGATGGGCATTGGATGACTAACTGATGAGAGTGGATATTGACTTGGACGATTTTAATCCATTATTATAAAGTCAAATGGCTCACACTGGAATGTGAATTTGGTTATGACAACCGTGTGTGGAATAATTCAACAATATTGTATTTTTTTATAAGGAACTGACTTTTGTGACGCATTTGACATACTACTTTTGGGTCATTGATGACGAAATGATTCTCACTGTTAAATTCGTCGCTGTACGTTGAGCAAATCTATTAAAATACCCAGAAAAATACAAAGCAGAAAGACGTAAAACATTATGGTTAGATTCTACTAGGGGCGAATTGAATAATGCAGTTGTGATTTGTTTAGTACTTTACTAATATTTGATTTTTTAATTGGTTTTGCTTCAAAGAAATATTTTCTGGATATCCAAAATTTTTTTGGACATTTCTTAATATTTACAAATATTTACAGATATCTTGTTTACTTTGTTTAGTACAAATGAATCTAAAAATAATACAATTTGTTTTCCTAAACTATCTTTTACGTAAAAAAAAATTAGTGAGACTATATATTCCATAAACTTTTAAAATTAATAAATTTAAAAAAACACACACAAAATTTTAGAATTATTTTAATTTTTATAAAGATTTGATATCACTTTCTTAATTTAATACCTTGATAAGTAACTTTATAAATGAAATTAATAAAATGATATGTTAAAAAAATAATTATATAAATTATACATTTAAAACTCTATATGTAATTATATATAAATTTGCTTGTGATTTGTTTAGTTTTTAATGACTTACAGGTATCCAGATTCTTAGATTAAATTGAAATGAATAATGAATTAAATCAAATTTAATGGATAAATTACCTGATCCTAGATTCTACACCAGAAATAGTTGAACAGTTGCAAATTATAAGTATACTCACTATGAAATTTGTGGTTGTGGAATTATATGCATAAACAAATAAAGTGACAGTATATTCTTAAAACCAAAGTAAAATCCGTTATTCATATCAATTCACTCAAAAATTATAGTATCTAATATAATTTTTCGAAGTAAATCACAAATATCAATTTAAAAATGTCAAATATCAATTATGAATGTAAAATCGTTATGTTAGATTCTCCACCAGAGAAGACTGGAATAAGGTACTTTATATAAGCAAAACGTCACTGTGTAACTATAAATAATCTATAACACAAATCTCCTCGAAGCTGCACGTATACATACACATTCGAAAAATCATTTTAAAAAATCTTCATATTCTTATTTTTGAATAATTTTCAGTCTCATATGATCATAATTGCGTGCTAAATGATAATATATTGCTTAACGGTAATGACTATTTAATGGGGCATTTTGAATCTATTTTCTTCACAAAATATCTCAACGCCAACATAAAAAGCCGCTCCACTACCGTGGAAACGATGGCGTTTTGCGACGGTTCTATAGCCACTTTCCTTCCACTTCTTCTGCTCTTCTGCTTTCTCTCTACGACAAGCTTCTCTGACGCTATCCCCTCCACGTTGGACGGTCCTTTCACTCCGGTGACGATTACATTAGACACCTCTCTCCGGGGAAAAGCAGTTGACTTGCCAGACACGGATCCTCGTGTCCAACGCTACGTCACCGGTTTCGAGCCGGAGCAGATTTCTCTAGCTCTTTCCTCCAACTACGATTCCGTATGGGTCTCTTGGATCACAGGTTCATTTTCCCACCAACTTTTATACCTTTTTTTCAGTTACTTGTATATAAAGTTAGGTCTTGTGGCTCTGATACAAACTTAAGATAAGATTCTTTTACTATAAGTTTGTGTCTAATGTAACTCTTGTTGTGTCTGAAAGGTGAGTTCCAAATCGGTACGAACGTGAAGCCATTAGATCCGACAAGTATCGATAGTATTGTCCAGTTTGGTACTTCGTCGGGCTCACTGACTCATACAGTCAAAGGATCTTCACTTGTTTATAATCAACTTTACCCATTTGAGGGTCTCCTTAACTATACTTCTGGAATCATACACCATGTTCGCATTACAGGTTCTTCTTTTACTTTAATTTATTTTAGCTATGTATAGGCCCCATGTTTGCATAGTGTGTGTATATTTGAAATGAAATGACAGCCCTCACTAGCATTATTAACAACTACTTTTTTCCTAATTGTAAAGCAAACAAAATGAACATGTTTCCCTTCTTGATTGTAGCTTTTATATATAGTCCCCATATATGTTGATTGTTTATAGTTTTAAAAATATTTTTTTTGTCTTTGCAAAACCAATTTTTATCCAATGAAGATTTAGATTTGAGTTTTAGTTTTTGTAAAATTTATTTTATCAGCCATTGACAACATATATTTAACAAATAGATTCCATAAGATTAAGAAAATTATTGTTTTTTTATAAAAGTTCATCATTTATGAACAAAAACCAAAACCCATAGGATTTTATAAAAAACAGAAAATCTGTTATTTTTGCAAATATTGCTATTTTAAAATCGATAATTAATTAAATGCTATTATCTAGAAGATAAAATATGTAGAAAAATTACACACATAAATGATCTACAGTAATTTTAAACAATTTATTTATATTTAATTCCTTCAAATAAATCTCTGTATTTTATCTATAATTTATTAATAGTTTAATTTTTTCAGTTATAACTTTTAAAGTAAATTATTATTATGTTATTATTGTAAGCATAGGGAGAAAACATTTGAAACTTAAAAAGCATTTTATGTGTCAAAATACAATGTATTATATTGAAAATTAAATTGAAATAAATAATTAAAAAGGATTTGGTTTTTGAAATACAGGGCTGAATCCAAGTACTGTCTATTACTATCGATGTGGGGATCCTTCACATGGTATGAGTAAGATACACAGTTTTAAGACAATGCCGGTTTCTAGCCCCACGAGTTACCCCAGCCGAATAGCAATTGTGGGTGATACTGGTCTAACTTACAACACAACAGCTACAATAAGTCATTTGGTTCAGAACAATCCGGATCTTGTTTTACTGGTCGGTGACGTGAGCTACGCAAACTTGTATCTAACGAACGGGACTAGCTCAGATTGTTATTCTTGTAATTTCTCAAATACACCTATACACGAGACGTATCAGCCACGTTGGGATTATTGGGGTAGATTTATGGAGAATCTTACTTCTAGAGTTCCTCTTATGGTGGTTGAAGGAAACCATGAGCTTGAATTACAAGCTGGGAACAAAACATTTGAAGCTTATAGCTCGAGATTTGCTTTCCCTTATGTAGAAAGTGGCTCTACTTCGAAGTTTTATTATTCCTTTAACGCTGGTGGGATTCACTTTGTTATGCTTGGTGCCTACATCGACTTTGCTAGATCAGGTTTGATATATATCCTCACTCTGATCTCTTTGTTTACATGTTTGTGTGCATCTCTTCGAAGATTTTTGTCGGTTTTTGCAGGGGCGCAATACGAGTGGTTAAAGAGAGATCTTGCTAAATTCAATAGATCGGTAACTCCATGGTTAGTAGTTACTTGGCATCCACCATGGTACAGCACTTACACAGCGCATTACAAAGAAGCTGAATGTATGAAAGTAGCTATGGAGGATTTACTTTACTCTTACCGTACGACATTGTCTTCAACGGACATGTAAGAACCAAAACACAAACCTATTTTATCCGAGCGGCAATATAAAACATTCGTCTATGACCTTCAAAATATCAAATAGTTAATACTTATATAAATGTATACATTTTTGGCCCCCAGATTATTTTTAAAATCTATGTTTTGTAATTGTTTCATGCACCATAAATTTCAGGGTTGGCTTGTTACTATCTTTGCTTATTGATTTGGTATGACTGACTTTTTTTACTTGGTGTGAAAACATGTTTGAAGGTTCATGCTTATGAACGGTCTAACAGAGTATACAACTACCAACTAGACCCATGTGGTCCAGTTCACATAGTGATTGGTGATGGAGGTAACCGTGAAAAGATGGCGATTGAGCACACCGATGAACCAGGTAAATGTCCTGACCCATTATCCACACCAGATGCAGCCATGGGCGGGCAATTTTGCCCTTCGAACTCCACCGCGACTGGTGCGTTCTGTTGGGACCAGCAACCTCCTTATAGTGCCTTGAGAGAAAGCAGCTTTGGCCATGGAATCCTAGAGGTAACGATTTTAACTAACTCCTAAACGCCTTAACCACCTTAAGATTAAGACTCTAATTCAATAAAATTGATTACAATGCAGATGAAGAACGCTACATGGGCACTATGGACATGGCACAGGAATCAGGACACTAACAGTCAAGTTGGAGATCAGATTTACATTGTGAGACAACCTGATCTATGTCCCCCTCACAATGTCACAACCTGATTGATTAACCATTTGCTATGTTTGAAATTTAAACTGAGTGTTCTAATAAATGATTTGGCTTATTGCCTCATCCAGAGAGTGATTTTTGTGTGTGTTTGTGTGTAACAAGTATTGAGTTTTTTTACAAGAAATATAATACTCTTTTTTTTTTTGGACAAACAAAGCATTGCATTACTACTTAGAGTTTACTCTCCCAAGGCGGAGTTCATTACAAACGAAGCAAGAGCTGCTTTCGCTACTGAATCAGCGAGAAATAAAGCTAAACGATATTACATCAAATAACGAAACAAAGTGATAGATATCAAACATGATACCGAAAAGTTCAGATTGATACTCTCCCTTCCTCAAAAGATTGATAAGAGATAGAGAATCAGATAGAACCGCAAGGGATCGGACGTTTGAGTAGACAGCGGTCGAAACCGCGCGATGAACAGCAATGGCCTCTGCCATTAAAGCTGACGAAACATGGATATGAACCTCTGATATGGTGTGAAGAGACATGGTATAATCACAAGAAATATAATACTCATAAAAGTTCAATAATTATATTAAAAAAGGAGGGAAATAAAAGTTTCAAAAAAGCTGTTACTAGAAGATCTCAAGGAACTCAAGAACAAAGCTGCTGCAAACAGGGCAATGATTTTTCTGAGCCATAAGCTCTTTAGAACAGAGCTTACAAAACATATGACCACAAGGCGTAAACGTGGCGCCTTTGAAATTCACCTGACAAACGCAGCAATTCACCTCTCCTTCTCCTCCACCTCCTCCATCTTCTTCTTCTTCCTCTTCTTCGTCTTCTTCGTACTCCTCTTCTTCATCATCCATGGCATAGCGTGCTCCCGTTAACCCCATTTGCCTATCCGTCTCTTCCAAAAGATCCATCAACGACATCGTCTGCTTCGGGGCAGCATCTGCTTTCTCCTCTGCTCCTCCCTCCTCGCTGTCGTCTTCTTCTTCCTCCCCCTCATCGTCGCTTGAAGCCGCGGCAGCTTCTGCTTCCGCGGCTTCTTGAGCCGCGACAGCTTCTCTGGCAGACATCTGCCTCTCGTCAACGAACTTGACGACGGGATGACGACGTATCTTGTCGTCATCTCCGTCACCGTGTTCTCTAACGGAATCGTGCCGTGAGAACTGCGGTTTGAAGCTTCTTGAAGGCGGTCCGTCTCCAGGAGCGCTCACGTCAGCAGCGAAGTCGTCGTGGTTTTTACCCGACGCGACACGTATCGAAGGTCCGCGCGTGAACGCCCCGCGTCCAGGTGGATCCGACATTGGAGTTGCGTGGACTTTATTGTTTTGTCGGGGGTGTTTTGGATTAGGGATATGGATATCCGAGGCGGGGATGTGAAGAGACGAGGTCCAAGCGGAACCGCTTCGTTTGAGACGGAGTTTCTCACGGAATATCTGCCACGTGGTCCGATCTTTTTGCCCTTCCTTGTGGTATTCGTCGCGTATGATGTCGAAAAGCGTTTGTGTTGTTGTTGGTGTTGGTGTTTGGTGCGGTACAAGAGATTTTTGCGGTAAAGGCGGTGGCGATGGTGGTGGGATAACGATCTCGCCACCAAGAACAGCGTCTAGAGTTAGTCCGGCTAACGAGTTGCTACGTTTCTTTAAAGCCGACATTTAACTCCCACGCCTTCTCCCGCCACCTTCCTCCATCATGGATTAGTAACGGTAAATAAAGTAGTTAAATATGTTTACAAACTATAATGGAGATGTTTACCTCTTGCATTGGAATTTAGAGAGTGTTCATTGCTTAGACTGGAAAATTTCTAACGTTTGGAATTTTTGGTGATGATGTGTTTTGTTGGATTGACTTTTAACTTTTTATCATATAGACTGTTTTTTTTTTTTTTTTTTCTTACCTCCTTAAATTGAAACTAATTTTTGTGGGTGAAAGTGTTTTGAAATGGAGAAAAAGAGCAAAGAAGAACGAGTCATAAGGTGAAAAATGATCTAATTTAAGGATGTTTTCCATAGTTTTTGTAGGTCCAAAAAATATTAATTACTTATTTGTAATGATGATCAATGTGAGTTAGTAGATAGTTGAAGAAATCTTTTATAAAGATACAACAAACAGGAAGTCAATATGTCCGAGTGGTTAAGGAGACAGACTTGAAATCTGTTGGGCTTCGCCCGCGCAGGTTCGAACCCTGCTGTTGACGATAATTTTTATTGAAAAAATAAAACCAACAAAGGAAGTTCGAGAAAATATTACCCATCGGCGTTAATTAATCTTCTGCGGTAATCCTCATTATCCTTAATCACCGTAACCCAACACTCAGTGAGCTCAGCCCAATCAAATTGTGTATAACGACACTGCAAAAACCGTTAAACCCAAAGTTAATACTGTCTTAAGCAAATTTCTTTTTTAATACTGTGAAAATTTACAATTATTATTTTTGAGATAATTACATTTGTAGATAGAACCGGTAAGCCCAAAGCTATGGCCCATATAATATATCAGATCGTCTCCTTGACCGCGCATGAATCTCCAACTACTACGCGTCGAAACTTGTTAGGGGTCTCACACGATCTGAAACCGATCACTCCTCTAGAATCATCGGTTTCGTGCTGCGCAGATTCTCGAGTTTCTCTCTCTCTCTAACTTAAGGTAGTCTTCTTTCTCTAAACCATATAATCAAATTAATGTCAATAATATAATAGACTTTTAGCTGATACTCTAATGGTTTTATTGATCCAGAACGAAGAGGGGAACTTCTCTTGTAAGTCACTTGCAGAAGCTGCCAATTTTGAAATTTGAAGAGTCGGATCTGTGAAAAGTTTGATCCTATGAGGTTTCAGTTGGAAGAAGGAATCTGATTCTAGGGTAGAATCTAGGGTTTTGTAATTTGATCTGATCCAAAGATTGGAACTTTGATAGTAGTTTAGGTTTGTGTAAGCAATAATGGGTACGGAGAATCAAAATTATCCGAATTTTCCAGCTAGACCTCCTCCTCCATCCACCTCCTCCTCCTCTCCATTCGCATCTGCTCCGCCGCCAGGTGTCCCTCCTCAATCAAGTGGACCACAAACAGTTGGCTTTAGACCACTTTCTTCCCAACCCACAAGGCCTTTCACACCTTCTGGTCCTCCTATGGCTCCACCTGTGGGTGCAATGAGGCCTATGGTTTCTCAGATTCCAGGGAGTAGACCTCCTCCGCCAGCGTACGGAGGAGGTCCTCCTGGTGGTGTTGGCGGCTCTTTTCAGCGTTTTCCAACTCCACCTCCGTTCCCGGGCTCTCAAAACCCTCCTCCTAGTGGTCCACCACCACCAACTCAAACTCTTGCAGGTCACTTATCACCTCCAATGTCTCTTCGCCCACAGCAACCGATGGGACCACCTGGAGGATATGTATCTCCCCCTGGTTCTGGTTTTCAACAGTCTGTGCCTCCAGTTAATCCCTCTTACTCTGGTGTTGGTTCTGGTCCACCACAGCCATCTTTTCCTGGTTATCCAAGTAACCAGGGCTTCCAGTCTGCATCTCAGGGTCCTGTCTCATCATATCCTCCTCAGACAGGAGGATTTTCTCAGCACCCAGGACAACAGAATCTGCATCCTGGCTATGCACCTCCTACTACCAGTAGCATTCAAGGCTTGGCTGAAGATTTTAATTCGTTATCTCTTTCGAATATTCCGGGGTCGCTTGAGCCAGGACTTGATCCTTCCTCGTTCCCAAGGCCATTGGATGGTGACGTGGAGCCGAAATCATTTGCTGAAATGTACCCTATGAATTGTGATTCTAGATATCTTCGGCTGACGACTAGTGCTATACCAAACTCCCAGTCTCTGGCGTCGAGGTGGCATTTACCTCTAGGAGCTGTGGTTTGTCCACTTGCTGAGGCTCCTGAAGGGGTTAGTACTCGTCTAGCTAATCAATTCTTTTGAATATTTTCTTGTTTTGATGATTTGGAACTCTCCACGTGCTACGTTAGAGCCACATATAAATTTTTACTTATGTGCAACTTGTCGTTTTTATCTGTTCAGGAGGAAGTACCACTTGTTGATTTTGGCTCAACTGGAATCATCCGTTGCAGAAGATGCCGTACCTATATAAATCCTTATGTGACATTTACAGATTCTGGAAGAAAGTGGCGGTGTAATATTTGTGCTATGCTTAATGATGGTAATTTTTCCAAATCTTCAGGATTTGTTTGTTAATCAAAGTGCTACAGAACGTCAGTGTTGTTTTCTCTTGTTTTCCTTGATGGGAAAGGTTATCTATCAGGGAACTTAGTAAGGTTATACAAGGAACGTTTTTGGTGTTGTGTATGTTTATTCTTTTTTTGGTGGAATGTCATCTTTGTCGTTTTACCTGTGAATCTGATGTGAACTTGATGGGGAAGGGTTATCTATTAGGGGTCTTAGTAGAATTATCGTAAAGCTACAAGGAAGAGTATTTTTTTTGTTGTGTGTTTTTTTATTTGGTGGTGGAATGTCATCTTTGTTGAATTATCTGTGCATCTGATACGGACTTTTGCCCAGTCGTTGGAGTGTCCTTTTACTTTCCATAATATTATTTGAGCTATGGCTCTATGCTCAGTACTCTTAGGCATATACTTATCAGATGAATCCTAGTTTTATGGGTCAAACTTTTTGTTCAGTGCCTGGTGAATACTTTTCACATTTGGATGCTACTGGCCGAAGAATGGACATGGATCAACGGCCTGAGCTGACAAAAGGCAGTGTTGAAATCATAGCTCCAACAGAGTACATGGTGCGGCCTCCAATGCCACCAACCTACTTCTTCCTCATTGATGTTTCATTTTCGGCTACTAAAAGTGGGATGCTTGAGGTAAGCATGTTGGATTCTTAATTGTTGTGCATTAGATTTACTTTGTAAGGACCAACCCGTGCGCTTTTATCTAAATACACTACGTATCATTGGATCTAGACTAGATTAGACACTCTCTCCTTTTTAGATGCAAGCTGTCCTCAAATTTAGATCTTACACTGACTTTTTTTCTCGTTTGGCAGGTTGCTGCTCAGACGATCAAGTCTTGTCTGGATAACTTGCCTGGTTATCCCAGAACTCAAATTGGATTTATTACTTATGACAGCACTATACATTTTTACAACCTGAAGGTAGGAGAATTGTATATACGCAGGAATTTTGTTCTGAAATACTTTAGCATTTATCATGTATTATTTTTGGACTTTGGCAATGCAGTCATCTTTGAGCCAACCACAAATGATGGTGGTTTCTGATTTGGATGATATATATATCCCATTACCGGATGATCTCCTTGTCAATCTATCTGAATCTAGAAATGTGGTGGAAGCCTTTTTAGACAGTCTACCTCTGATGTTTCAAGATAATGGTAATGTGGAATCGGCTTTTGGTCCAGCCCTCAAAGCAGCGTACATGATTATGGTTAGTTACTATGGTTCCATTTGAAATGCAAATTCAGTTTATGTCAATGTCTTGTAATTTATATGGAACCTCATCTAAAATTTGTATCATTTTGTAGTTGACTCTGTTTTCTCTCTCCATTTCAGAACCAACTTGGTGGCAAGTTACTAATTTTACAGAACTCGTTACCTTCTCTTGGTGCTGGGCGGTTAAAGTTGCGCGGTGATGACCCTCGTGTCTATGGAACTGACAAAGAATATGTTTTAAGGGTAGCTGAAGACAACTTCTATAAGCAGATGGCTGCCGATTGTACCAAGTTCCAAATAGGAATTAATGTTTACGCATTCAGTGATAAGTACACTGACATTGCCTCCTTAGGTACGTGAATGCTATGGTTATCACTGGTTTTTCAATTTCAGGGGTTTGCAGTGAGTTAGTGGTGGCTTTTCCTCCCGTTAAACATTGCTGTTTTAAGTGCGAAAATTTTGTATTAAAGTGCATTGGTTTGTGTAGGGACTCTGGCAAAATACACTGGTGGACAGGTGTACTACTATCCAGGCTTCCAATCATCTATACAAGGAGATAAGTTAAGACACGAGCTGGCTAGAGACCTTACAAGGGAAACTGCTTGGGAATCTGTTATGCGAATAAGATGTGGAAAAGGTTTGCGAGTTTACGATACAATATTCATTCGTGCTGCCTGTTATGTCTCTCCAGATTTGCTAAATTCGTTGGTATGCTACATGTGATCTTATATATTTTGGCATGCAGGAATTCGTTGCTCGTCCTATCATGGGAACTTCATGCTAAGGTCTACTGACCTACTTGCTCTTCCTGCTGTTGACTGTGACAAAGCATATGCAATGCAGCTAGCTCTGGAAGAGACATTGCTAACAACCCCGACTGTCTATTTCCAAGTCGCTTTACTGTATCCTTGAATAATTTATAACCATACTTGAGTTTGAAGTTTGATTTTCAGCTGGTACATCACATCATGTAGTTTTAGTAAGCCTTAACAGAACTAAGATATACTGCTTCTTGCGGAGAGAGGCGTATAAGGGTACACACAGCTATTGCACCAGTGGTTACAGATCTCGGAGAGATGTATAGACAAGCAGACACTGGTTCCATTGTCTCTGTATATGCTAGATTAGGTAGGATATATTCAAGTTTTTTTCCCACTAGCATTATATGTTACTTTAGATGTTATTTAATAACTGTTTTAATTCTGCAGCCATTGAGAAAACTTTGTCCGCAAAATTGGATGATGCACGAAATGCTATACAGCAAAAGATTGTTAAAGCTCTCAGAGAATATCGTAATCTTCATTCGGTGCAGCATCGGTTGGGGTCTAGATTAATATACCCAGAGTCGCTGAAGTTCTTACCATTGTACGGCTTGGCCATGTGTAAGTCCACTCCTCTTCATGGTGGACCAGCTGATGCTTCACTTGACGAGCGATGTGGGGCAGGCTTCACCATGATGGCTCTACCTGTCAAAAAGCTATTGAAGCTGTTATATCCCAGTTTACACCGTGTTGACGAGTGGCTCTTAAAGGTTTGTGCATCTCTATCTCAATGTAGCCTAGCAGACATCTTTTCAGAAATTTCTTAAATCATTAATGAATTCACATGTATGCAGCCATCGGTAGACCATGATGACCTTAAGGACGTACTAAGGAGATTGCCACTGGCTGCAGAGAGTTTGGATTCTAGAGGCCTTTACATTTACGATGATGGGTTTCGATTGGTTTTGTGGTTTGGCCGGATGCTTTCACCTGACATTGCTAAAAACCTTCTTGGAGCTGACTTTGCAGCAGAGCTCTCAAGGGTAATGCTCTTTCATTCACATGCATCCTTACATATGAATTTATGAACGAGCATGAGATCCAATCATTGATACTATACTTGTTTCCTTACTCATATGCTTACATCTAATGATCTATATGCATCGATACTGTTACATGTCTTAGGTAACACTGGAAGAACAAGAGAATGGGATGTCGAAGAAGCTAATGAGGTTGATAAAGAAAGTGAGGGAGAATGATCCATCATACCATCCCATGTGTTTCTTAGTGAGGCAAGGAGAACAACCCCGAGAAGGCTTCCTTCTCCTCAGAAATCTCATTGAGGACCAGATGGGCGGGTCGACTGGTTATGTTGATTGGATGCTGCAAATTCATCGCCAAGTCCAACAAAATGCGTAATAGTTCACAATGGTAAGAAAACCCTTTATTCCATATCAATGCTTTAGTGCACCAAATCACATGTCCAACGCATCTTTGTTTTTTCAGACAACTCGAGTGCCGAGATTGCGCCTCTCTGTAACTATCAAAGAAACTCCTGAGCTCAAAACTTCTCGTTAAGCCATCGATGGTGGTATAAAAATGCGGATCATTGTGGTCTGCTTCCTTCATAATGTGTTGTTTCTTGGGGAAAAAAAAGAAGCACTAGTTTATTTTTTCTTCATTTGTTTTCTCTATATAATTTATGAACGGGCATACTTTGTTACTTTTTTTTTTGTTCTTTCCAATTTTTCTTGTGCATCTGTATCAGATTTATTTTGAAAGGGAGTTAACAGTCAACTAATTTTGTATTAAACAAGGATGTTAACAAGGAGAGATGACTTCTGTTTAAAATTAAAGATTTTTTCTTATGCTCTCAAATCTTCATTCAATTGGATATAAATAAGAAAATACGAATTGACTATGAAAATTCATAGCCAGTTCTAAGACTGTTCAAAGACTCTGATAGAACGGGAACCGTTTTTGTTAAGATAAGAAACGTGTCAATAATTTTGAGTTTCTGACTATGGTTCCATCTGATGAGAACCATCTTCGTACTAGCATCTTTCTTTGGCTCATGAGATAAGTTTATGTGAGAAAAGTGCAGAGGTTTTGTTGCAGGGTTTACTTGTTAAATGTGTTGGTCCAGAGCCCTCAAAGCAGCTTTCATGGTTTACCATGGAATCTTCTTCTTCTTAAGCCATAATGGTATAACAGGGTAAAAAGAAGTAGGGGATCATTGGGTGTCTACTTAGTTGTGGCATAATGTGTTGTTTGGGAAAATAAAGAAGCACTAGTTTGATTTTCTCTCTATATAATCCTTTTTCTTAATGTCCAGGCTTTTATCTCCTTGTTTTGCAGTGCCTATGATACAAAACCTTGAAGCAACTCTAAGAGCCGGTGCTGCTCCTAACACTCCTCAGTTTAGGCCTCAAGGTTTTAGCCAAGAGGAAGGTCTGAAACCATCTGAGAAAGGTTTCAAGTCTGAGGATGCTGAAACCTCAGTTGCAACTGAAAAAGTGTCAACGGTTGTTGTTTCGGCTAGTAAAGAGAAGGTGAAAGAGGATCCACTAGGTGATGCTAGGAGCAAGATTCAGGAAGAGATTACTCGTGAGTTTGCAGCTCTCATGGCGGAAGGGACACTAAGAGCAAGTGAAGCAGCTACTATAGCTACTAAAAGAGTGATGCAGAAGTATGGTCATCTCAATGCAGCTGCTTAGAGTCTAATAAAACAGATTAAACCGCTTTTTTTTTTTGCAATTGTATTTCTGTTTCCTAGCTACATTTGTATAATAATGGCTTTTCAATTTGAAATAATTAGGACACTACAGTCTCAGGTTCCAACTCAGTAGCTTTCTCTTTTGATCTACAAAACATCTCTGAAGGAATGTTGATGCTCCAATGTAGTCACTGAGCACATAATCTAACAAACCTGTAAAAACGCAACCAACATCAAATTCTGTTGTCACTGAGACTTTACAAGTGATGTGATGTGGTTTGCTTTGCATACCTTTGCCAACAACTAGACCAAACTGTTTCAAGGTTAGTGCATTGAAGCCTTCTCGCTTGGTGAAGTTGAGTATAAGAGCAACAGGTAGGAAGATAAAGAAGTTGAAAAGACCTAGAAACCCAAGAAGCTGAGCCATACAGAAGCTGTTACTTTCTTTCATCAATTATCTGGAAGCTTTTTGAGTATAAGAGTGATGTAAACAGCGTCTAGAGCCGCTGAGATCAGAGAGAAGATATCTCCAAGAAGTGGGTTCTTCTTACCTGTTGCCGTTGAGTCAGACTCTGAGTCACCCATAGTCACAATTATGGTACCAAACATACAAAGAAGAACACTGAGAAGTTTCAACCAAGTGAACTTCTCTCCCAGGAATAGTAGTGATACAAGAAAGGTGAAAAGGGTTGATGCACTGCTTAAGATTGTATTTGACTGCAAACTCACAAAATGGAAAAAAGGTCTTAAAGAGTTGTTTCAGAACAGAGCAACAAGGATGACGTAGTACACAAGTACACAACCCCTTGACGAGAGGGTTTCTTGTGTCACACGTAGAGACACATTACGAATTATCCATCCGATCATGTAACTTCTCCGAAACATAGCTACAATTTCTATCTTTAATACTGCATTCTACACCAATGTTATTATTTAGCTGCTCTTTATGAGCTTCCATGCATGATGCATGGATATCAGATCTCTATAATTATGAATCAATTTGACTAAAATAACAAGAAATTTGTAATAATAAAACAAAGTCTATCAACTTGAAAATCTTAAAACCAAGAACACAAACACCATGAAATTTTTCATTCTCTTGCTATGAAAACCCAGTTGAAATATACACATTGAAACAAAAGCAGAACATTAAAAAAGGAAATCACTAACTCCCTGAAACTTTAAACAAAAGAAAACAACCAAACCCAAAATAAAAATCAAGAAACAAAAAAAAAAAGAGATAAAAATTATGATCAAGAAGCACTAGGGTTCCGTGAATGTGCTGCACTAGGGTTCCGTGAATGTGCTGCACTAGGGTTCCGAGAATGTGCAGCGCTAGGGTTTAAGGAATGTGCTGCACTTGTGTTCCGAGAGTTTGCTCTCGAAGCAACACCCCACTCCATTGCCTCAGCCACGGCTCTTTCCCGTTCCTCCGGCGCCATAGAATCCTCACCGGAGGTTTCACCTGTCGACCGCTGAGGAGGACGAACTTCGTCGTAACGTACTGGAACAGCTATAGTGCCATCAGGAGCAGTTCCCAAGAAACCTAGAGCGGTTACAACGTCGCTTATGAGTGGCCGTAACGTTGCCTCTTCTTGTAAACACATTGCTGCTACTGCCACGGCTTGGTTAAGAGCTTTCTCCGGGAAAACTCCTTCTAGACTTGGATCAGCTAACTCCGGGAATCTACTTGGTTCTTTGAACACAGGTTGTGCCTAAAACACACAATGATTTTTATAATCAATTGAATCCTAAGCACTTTTCACACTCTCTCTCTTCATATTAAGCACCTTCCTCCTCCTAAGCACTTCTCTAAGCACCCTTGGATAAACATGCTCTAAGGGTTTTATGAGTGTGATTGGTTACAAAGTGGAGTAAATGGGTGAAAAAATAAAGTGGAAATGAGAGAAATGAAAAATAGTAAAATAATTTGGAGTAAACATTTTCATCTCATAAATGTTGAGAGAAGATTTACTCTAATTTTCTAAATGAGCTGAAACCATTTCCACTTGAGTGGATAAAATTAGAGGAAATGAGCTGAAAATTACTCTAATTATACCATTCAATCACACCCTATATATACTTAGGGCAGGGAGAATTTAGAAGTTACTAACCTTAATAAAAAAAATATTCTTCATAATTTTGTTTTTTTTAAATGTATATAATCTCCCAAAAAAAATAAAATTTAAGAATGTTTCAATAGATTGTGCCTAAATGCGACCTTGTATATAATATAAAGAACAAAGAAATAAAAAACTCACCCAAGTAACTAGATTATGTTCATCTTTAGGTCTAGTGGTATCAATAACTCTTCGTCCAGTTATCAACTCCAACAACACAACTCCGAAGCTATAAACATCAGATTTAATGGTTAACTGACCGGTTCTCTGATACTCAGGAGCACAGTACCCATAAGTTCCCATAACTCTGGAGGACACATGTTGTTTGTCCCCGACAGGACCTAGCTTTGCTAGTCCAAAATCGGATAACTTGGCGTTGAAGTCACTGTCCAAAAGGATGTTAGATGCCTTGAGATCTCTGTAGATCACTGGAGGATCTGCCTTGTCATGCAAGTATTCAAGACCCATGGCTGCTCCTAGTGCAATTCTAATCCGTGTGTCCCAATCCAACGGTACTTGGCCCGGTTTTAGATCTGTAAGCATTTTAATCAACAATCAAACATTGAGACTAATCTAGTTATAATCAGTCATCCTAGTTTTGTAAATTTACCGAGGAGATGATCTTCGAGTGAACCACGAGACATGTACTCATAGACAAGAAGTCTTTGATCTCCATCAGCACAATACCCAATGAGATTCACGAGATGCTTGTGATGTAAAAGACTTAACATCAACACTTCTACAATGAACTCCTTGTTCCCTTGTTGCCCATTTCTGTCTAACTGCTTCACTGCCACAACCTGAATCCAAAACAACCATTAATAATGTACAAAAAATCATCAAACTGAACGTATTCAAGTTTCTATAAAATTGATTTTGTACAATAGCATGTACGGTTTAAAAATATAACTAGTTAAAATAGCTATCTATTATATAAAAGAGTACATTCGCTATTCATCTGACCAGTCAATTAATCCTTAAGACAAGTTAATTAGTACTAATTACCTTGTCACATTTTTCGATTTTTCCCTTGTAAACCCTTCCAAAACCACCTTCACCGATCAGACATTCTTGTCTGAAATTCTTAGTGGCAGTAGCTAGCTCCCGGAAGGTGAATGTTTTCGCAGCAATGTTGTTGGTCAGTTCTTTGTTTGCATCATCGTTCTTGCTCTGCTCATTTCCAGTCTTATTAGGCTTTGGATTCTCTGTAAGCACCACAGAGATTACTTAATCTAGACATCTAAAACCCTAATATATGAAAAAAAAAATTATCTGAAAATTTTATATAGGATTTTTCTAGCATACCAGGGTGTGTTTTATTGTTCTCTCTACTGGTCAACTCACCATTTCTCCGGCGACTATCTGAATCTTTAGGAGCTTTTTTCGTTTCATGGAAATACAAACATGAAAAGCAATTCATTTCTTCTCTAATTCCCTTAAGAAGAAACCTTTTCTCAAGAAATTTTTAAATTTTCCCTTTTTTTTTATTTTTCTTTAAAGATCAACTATGACATAGACTATAATCAAACAACTGGATTTCTGCAATGGATCGTTAACTTGTTCAATAGTTCCTGCGTGTTGACAAGAAACAAAAACGATGTTTTCAGATAAAGAAAGAATTGGCTGGAGAAAAATAAACGTGGGTTTGTTGAGAGAAAGCAAAGCTAACCTTAGAATCCTTCATAAACAATGGTTGCTTCTACCCCAAGAAACCCTTAGGGGTTTCCTTTTTTTTTCATCTTAATATGTTCAACGTCAAGATCTAACAAAACCCAGATCAAGAAAAATAAAATCAACACCAAACCCTCAGGATCAGAAGCGCCGAAAGAGTCTACGATAAAATTTGAGGGAGAAAACCGGATTTTTTCTTCAGGTTTAGGCAGATGAATTTTTCTTAATATAGACAATTAAACTACTGTCTAATTAGTATATAAGTATGAAAAATGGGGTCCATATATATCTCAATGATCTCATTTTTGTGTGCTCCACATTTATAAATGATCTCATGTTTGTGCAATTTGTATTTTTTTAAAATAAGCTTAAAGAATGTTTTACCGGATGAACTATGACGAAATGGGAAAACGATTAACGACATGGAGAGCACGAAGTGAATAAAATAAATGCAACCAAATGGTTGGATATTGTTGATGGTGGCACGAACTATAGATTTTAAAAAGAAAAATGCGAATAATTGTAACATTATTATTCCCAAAATCTCTTTTAAAATTGCGAACAAATAAGAATAAGATATAGAAGGAAAGCGGCATGAAACCTGTGAATGGGTGGAAAAGGATGCTTTTTGTCTCTTTTGTTTACAAAAAAACAAGTCAACAATCTTCTCTATGAGGCTCTTGCATATACATTGAGATAAGACAGATCCATTAGGATCACATTTTCATTTCCAGTATCTATCATCATCATCATCCACATATATGATATAAACTGAAATATACTGATTCATTTTCACCCTTTATATTGTTAGATACTTCAAAATTCTACATAACATGGACCGGCCAATAATTTATCAATGTCACTAGCTTATAGAAGTCTCTTTTTTTGGTCAAGTAGAAGTCTATTTTAACTCGCAAAGAGTAGGCAATGATGTGAGAGAATGAAACAACGCCCCATCATTGTTTGCAAGCACGCAAGTCTTCAAAGATATATAGACATCGATCTGACCAGAAGAATATAAGTTATACTTTCTCAAATTGACTCAAATTACTTACACTATCTAATACTACATTTATACATCGTTGGTTGCTACGAGGAAGACTAAGAATGTCACACAATGAGAGTACTTAAACAGTAGACTAGCTAGAGAGTGCATGAAAGATCAAACGTTAAATTCCAGTAAAACTCAAAAGACCAAAAAAAAAACAATGAAAATATGAAAGCCCTTTTGAAAAATGAAAAGTCATGCTAATAGCTTTGTTGCGTTTTTGAAAAAAGTTGTTCCCATTGAGTATCGTCAGGACAAGCAGTTAGTGTCTCATGATGTCAAGAGCAGCTTGTACAACTACAAGTACACTTACTCTGTTAAGATCTCTTCTATCTGCCGTGAGGATCTTATCTTCTTGCCTTCCAACGTTGCTAAAGAGTTAGGAAGCCTTGGTCACAAAAGTCTCCGACAACATCACGCTGCTTGATCCAAGAACCTTGAGGTGTGCGTTCTTGGACGCTAGACAGTACTGGAGATCCGGGTTTCGATCTGCTCTCACCAGCAGGCAGCTTGTGAAGTACTTAGTGTTTGATGTGGAAGAACCACCTGTTTGCGGGGAAAAGTATGCTTTGTCATATGTCCAAATTGCGCGTGAGTCAGACATTGGGAACAATGACAAGATGTGTTATGTCCAAACTCATCTAGGACATATCCTGAAACCAGGAGATGAAGCTTTAGGGTATGATGTGTATGGTGCAAATGTTAACGATGATGAGATGGAGAAGTGTTGTTTGAGTGGGGGGCTTCCTGAAGTGGAGAGAGAGAGGAAGAAAGGGAAAGCACGTGCGTTTAGAACTAAGAAGCTTCCAATGGAGATGGATGAGTCAAGAGAGGAGGTAGAGTTGGTCAAGAGAAAATGGAGAATGAATATGAAGAGTTTTTGAGAGATCTTGAAGAGAACCCTGAGCTTAGGTTTAACATATCATTGTACAAGAACAAGGATTATGATCAAGAATCTGAGAATGCTTCAATGACCGATGGAGAAGGTGCACCAACTGTGCCCATTGAAGAGTTGCTTGCTGAGCTTGAGCTTAGTGATGAAGAGGTAGAAAGCAATGGTGAAGAAGAGTACATGAATGAGTAATTTTCTTTTTAAAAGACACTCAAGGATCAGAGTTTGATCCTGGAACTGTTTTCTCTTACTTGCTCTTTAATTTTGTATGCTCAACAGTTTTTGTTTTAGCTTCATATTTTTCCTAAGACTTATTATGGCTATTATTATACTTTTTATTGAAAATTTTGATTTTCAAACGTGTAAGAGTTGCAACTGCAAAAAGAAGCACATGCAATCTTAACATATTCTATTTTCATAACAACTATGTCTTTTCACTTTTGATGGATACTAATGTGACAGATGAGTGTTATATACTTTACCTGCAGCACTCTCAGCTGAGACCACACCAAGCTCATTCTAAGCAGTTGACAGAGTCACCAAGAAACATCTTTTAAAGAGACCATGTAAAGGCAACTTCATATGCTATATATATATCTACAGATTACCACAAAATCTAACAGAGAAATAAATGGGAATAATGTAACAGATCTTTGATATAGATTTCTCCTCTTTAACCCAATGAAACATACAAAAATCATAGCTGCACAAAAGGACACAACCATATAGCTCTAACAATATCATCAGTTTTGTCAAAAACTCTGTTTTTCTCTAACATCTTGTTGTCTGTCTAAAGAGTACACAGAACGATGTTTTTTTTGTTTTTTTTTTAACACAAACACAGTTAAAACATTACATCTTGTTGTCAAAATATCAGACATCGCAGGTCTCATAGCTCCTGAGGTTGCGAGTTCGAATCTCTTCCAACCCAATTTTTTATTTTTATTTTTAATTATGTTTGACTCAACGTAACAGTGTCGGGTCAATCGGGTCGTAATCCAAATCCATTTAGAAATCAAAACCCTAATTGCCGCGTTCATCTTCCTTTCTCCATAAACCTTTTTTCTTCTCTGTTTTTGTGTTTTCTCACTCGGAAGACAAAAAAAAATGGTGAAACGGAGTAAAAGTAAAAAAAGCTAACTCCTCTCTCAGTACAATCTCTATCGTTGGATTCGTCCATGAATCTGAAATTAATTATTTGATTTGTTTTTTTTTTGTTGGCAGAAAGCAAGAGTAAGAGAGTGACGTTGAAGCAGAAGCACAAGGTGATAAGAAAGGTGAAAGAGCACCACAAGAAGAAGGCAAAGGATGCTAAGAAACTCAACCATAACCGCAAGCCAAGAGCTGAGAAGGATCCAGGTATCCCCAATGATTGGCCTTTCAAGGAACAGGAGCTCAAGGCCTTAGAAGCTCGACGTGCCCGTGCTCTTGAAGAGATTGAACAGAAGAAAATCGCCCGCAAAGAAAGGGTATATATCATCTTCATTCTCTTCAATCTTTGTTGTGAAAGATTCAGTCTTTTAATGTATTGTTAAAGCTTCAGACTTTTGAGGTTACAATTGTTAAAGCTTCAGACGTTAGAGGTTACAATTAACTGTTAAAGCTTCAGACTTTTAGAGGTTACAATTGTTAAAGCTTGAGCCTTTAGAGGTTACAATTGTTAAAGCTTCAGACTTTTGAGGTTATAATTGTTAAAGCTTCAGACATTTGAGGTTACAGTTGTTAAAGCTTGAGTCATTATAGGTTATAATTGTTAAAGCTTCAGACTTTTGAGGTTACAATTGTTAAAGCTTGAATCTTTAGAGGTTATAATTGTTAAAGCTTGAGCCTTTAGAGAGCTTATGTCTTTTTGAGCTTACAATTGTTAAAGCTTCAGACATTTGAGGTTACAATTGTTAAAGCTTCAGACATTTGAGGTTACAGTTGAGTCTTTATAGGTTATAATTGTTAAAGCTTCAGACATTTGAGGTTACAATTGTTAAAGCTTCAGACATTTGAGGTTACAGTTGAGTCTTTATAGGTTATAATTGTTAAAGCTTCAGACTTTTGAGGTTACAATTGTTAAAGCTTCAGACATTTGAGGTTACAGTTGAGTCTTTATAGGTTATAATTGTTAAAGCTTCAGACTTTTGAGGTTACAATTGTTAAAGCTCCAGACATTTGAGATTACAGTTGTTAAAGACATGTTTTGTGTTCTGAGTAATGGTTGGTTAATAGAGAGGGTAATCATCATTCTTCAGTCTTTGTACTAAAAAAGCGTAAGTCTTTTTAGGTTACAGTTGTTAAAAGACATGCCCTTTGTGTTCTGAGTGTTGGTTGATTGTGTTATCCATGCCTTGTTTTTTTTTGTTTTGTGGTAGTAATAATTATTATGAAGTGATGTTTATGTTCTGATCTCTGCTGATGAATCTTATTTAAGGCCAAAAAGAGGAAGCTTGGTTTGGTTGAAGATGAGGATACCAAGACAGAAGAAGAAGAAGGATATGGAGAGGGGAAAAACGGAACTAGACTTGTCAATATTCGTGGTGAGTTTTATTTTGTATTTGATTTGGCTATTCATTCACTGATGATGTCTATTGTTTTCACAGATAACTCTGAGAGGGCTTTCCGCAAGGAGCTTGAGAAAGTTATTGAATTGTCTGACGTCATTCTTGAGGTTCTTGATGCACGTGATCCCCTTGGCACGCGTTGTACCGGCATGGAGGACATGGTCTCGAAAGCTGGTCCCAATAAGCACCGCGTGTTGATTCTGAACAAGATTGGTAAGCTTAAGTCTCTCTGCTCGTGCTGTGAGAGGTTGGTTTTTGTAACACAATCTTTTTTTTTGTCTAGATCTTGTTCCACGAGAAGCTGCTGAGAAATGGCTTAAGTATCTTAGGGAAGAATCTCCAGCTGTTGCCTTCAAATGTAGCACTCAGGAACAGAGATCAAACTTGGGGTGGAAATCATCAAAGGCATCATCTAAACCAAGTAGTATTTTGCAGACGAGTGATTGTCTTGGAGCAGACACTCTTATCAAATTGCTGAAAAACTACTCGAGAAGTCATGAGGTTTGCTTTGCTTTGCTTTCTCATTAATTTTAATTTCATTATCCATCTTTGGATTAATCTTCTTTCTTTGTTGTTTCTTTTATTTTTGGCAGTTGAAAAAATCTATTACGGTTGGTATTATCGGACTGCCTAATGTAGGGAAGAGTAGTCTTATTAACAGTTTGAAGAGAGCTCATGTTGTCAATGTCGGTGCCACTCCTGGACTAACTAGGTCTCTGCAAGAGGTTCACTTGGACAAAAACGTCAAGTTATTGGACTGTCCTGGTGTTGTGATGCTCAAACCTTCAGCAAATGATGCTTCTATAGCTCTCCGCAACTGTAAAAGAATCGAGAAGTTGGAAGATCCTGTTAGTCCAGGTAATTGTATATCCTTTTGTGCTTTGTCTTGTATAAATCTCAGTGGCCTAACTGTGAAATTTTCTGCTTTGTGGGAAACTTTAGTGAATGAAATTCTCAAGCTTTGTTCAACACAAATGCTTGTGACTCTGTACAAAATCCCTAGCTTCGAGGGAGTTGATGATTTTCTTTATAAAGTTGCCACCGTAAGGGGTAAGCTTAAGAAGGGTGGTCTTGTGGATATAGAAGCTGCTGCAAGGATTGTTTTACATGACTGGAATGAAGGTGCAGTTTTCACACACTCAAAAGACTTGGAATCTTGAAAACCATAACTTGATCGTTTTGTGCAGGTAAGATTCCATTCTATACAATGCCGCCAAAGAGGGACCAAGGTGAACACTCAGAGTTAAAGATTGTGACCGAGTTGGCTAAGGAATTCAACATCGATGAGGTTTACAGTGGCGAATCCTCTTTTATTGGGAGTTTGAAGACTGTTAACGAGTTCAACCCTGTTGAAATTCCTTCGAATACTCCTCTCAGTTTCGATGAAACTATGGTTGAGGTTGGTTAATGAACTCTATATCCTGATTCCATTTTGCTTGTAACCTTCTAGGTTTTGTTTAACTTATGTTTATGTATCACAGGATGAGTCTAAGACTGAAGCAGAAGAAGAGGCTGGCATTGACAGTAATGATAATGATGAGTCTATGGGAGGGGAAGAGGAGCAGGAAGAAACAGGAAAGTCGAAATCAGAGACGAGCAGGCAGAACAAGAAGCTATACGCAGCTGACAGCATGCTGAACACAAAAATGCAGAAAGCAGAGAAGAATAAGAGGAAGAAAGCTAAGAAAGCATCAGGTGGTGAGGATCCAATGGACGGAGATTATGATTTCAAAGTAGATTACTCCAAGAACAAAGGTACAGACATGGATGAAGGAGATGGAATCCAAATTGATGCTAAAGTACCAATGGCTGAACTACTTGATTTGCCTGAAGAATGAGTCAACTTATTAGAACTAACAAACTTTTGTTTTCTATTTATTTGCTTTTATGATAATTATTTTGGTCTAGTAATATACTTTTGCACCACCAAGCATTGAGATTTGATCTGCAAATTCAGTATTCAAACACAAAAGCCTTCCTTTGACAAAATATATTTCTTGTGGTATATTTCAAGTTGCAAATGTGAAAGCAGCATAAAGAAACAGGTTGACTTTTAAGTCATTGGGGGATAATAATTGAGGAATATGTTATCTTGCAGGCCTGGCTCAAATCCAAAAAAAACACAAAGAAAGGTCCAAGGAGACTCTGAGAGCAAGCTAGAGAGAAGATGTCTTCAGCTACCGTTGATGTTGGAATCGGACTGATTCTTAGCCTCCTAGAAAACGAGACCTTGTTGCTGTCAGGAGTTCATAGCGAGATTGAGAAGATGAAAAAAGAGTTGCTTATCATAAATTCCTTTCTTGAGGACACCCACAAACATGATGGGAATGGATCAACCACCACAACAACAACACCAACTCAACTCTTTCAAACTTTTGTGGCAAACACAAGAGATTTGGCTTACCAAGTGGAAGACATCATTGACGAGTTTACCTATCACATCCATAGTTATCGTAGTTGCACAAAGCTTTGGCGTGCAGTTCATTTCCCCAGGTACATGTGGGCTAGACACTCCATAGCTCAGAAGCTAAAAACGGTTAATGTCATGATTCAGTCCATTTCTGAATGTATGAAAATGTACCATCATTCAGAAGCAGGAGCGTCATTATCGCCTATTAATGATGCTGGTGGTACAAAGTGGCTGAATAACATCAGCGAGTCATCATTGTTCTTTAGTGAAAACAGTCTTGTAGGGATTGATGCAGCCAAGGGAAAGCTTACTGGATGGCTTCTGAGTCCTGAGCCTCAAAGGATAGTTGTCTCGGTGGTTGGAATGGGTGGTTCAGGGAAGACTACACTCTCAGCTAATATCTTTAAGTCTCAAAGTGTGCGCAAGCATTTTGGATCATACGCTTGGGTAACAATCTCTAAATCTTATGTGATTGAAGATGTGTTTAGGACAATGTTAAAAGAGTTTTACAAAGAAGCAGAAACACAGATTCCAGCTGAGTTATATTCTTTAACATACAGAGAGTTGGTTGAGAAACTTGTGGAGTATTTGCAGTCAAAGAGGTACTTTGTTGTGCTTGATGATGTATGGAACACTGGTCTGTGGAGAGAGATAAGTATCGCTCTACCGGATGGTATTAGTGGAAGCCGTGTTATGATAACTACTCGGAGCAGTAACGTGGCTTCTTTCTCATATGGCATTGGGAGTAGAAAGCATGAGATTGAGCTCTTGAAAGAAGATGAAGCTTGGGTGCTTTTCTGCAACAAAGCGTTTTCAGGAAGTCTTGAACAATGCAGAAGGCAAAATCTAGAGCAGATAGCAAGGAAGTTACTTGAGAGATGTGAAGGTCTGCCGTTAGCTATTGCTTCTTTAGGGAGCATGATGTCAACAAAGAAATTGGAATCAGAATGGAAGCAAGTCTACAACTCTTTGAACTGGGAACTGAACAACAATCTTGAGCTCAAGGTTGTAAGAAGCATTTTGTTGCTTAGCTTCAGTGATCTGTCATATCCTCTTAAACGTTGTTTCTTATATTGTTGTATGTTCCCTGTGAACTATCGGATGAAAAGAAAGAGGCTCGTTAGGATGTGGATGGCACAAAGGTTTGTGGAACCGATCAGAGGAGTGAAAGCAGAGGAAGTGGCTGATGGTTACCTCAATGAACTTGTTTACAGAAACATGCTTCAAGTTATTTTGTGGAATCCTTTTGGACGTCCCAAAGTGTTCAAGATGCATGATGTGATCAGGGAGATTGCTCTATCTATATCCAAAGCTGAGAGGTTCTGTGATGTATCTAGTAACGACACTGATGGTGGTGATGATGAAGATGTAGAATCAACTGAGAGTAACGGTGCTCGCCATTTATGCATTCAGAAAGAGATGAGATCAGGTACTGTACTTAGAACAAACCTTCACTCTCTTTTGGTTTGCACTAAACACAGCATTGAACTGCCTCCAAGTCTGAAACTTCTAAGAGCCTTGGACCTTGAAGGCTCTGGCATCAGCAAGCTACCTGACTTTTTGGTAACTCTGTTCAACTTAAAGTACTTGAATATATCGAAAACCGAAGTGAAGGAGCTCCCAAGAGACTTCCATAGACTCATTAACTTGGAGACATTGAACACTAGGCACTCCAAGATTGATGAGCTTCCTCCAGGGATGTCTAAGCTGCAGAAGTTACGTTATCTTATAACTTTTCGTTGCAACTATGGACATGATTCCAACTGGAAATATGTTTTAGGTACAAAGGTCTCTCCAAGTATCTGCCAGTTGAAGGATTTGCAAGTGATGGACTGCTGCAACGCAGAAGCTGAACTTATCAAAATGCTAGGGAACATGACTCAACTCACGAGAGTAAGTCTTGTCATGATTAGAAGAGAACATGGAAGTGACTTATGCGAGTCACTGAATAAGATCAAAAGACTCAGGTTCTTATCCCTAACGTCTATACATGAAGAGGAACCGTTAGAGATAGATGGATTGATAGCAACTGCAAGCATTGAGAAACTCTTTCTTGCAGGGAAACTAGAAAGAGTACCAAGTTGGTTCAGTACCCTTCACAACCTTACCTATTTGGGTCTGCGTGGATCTCAGCTGCAAGACAACGCCATTCACTACATCCTAACGCTTCCTAAACTAGTATGGCTTTCGTTTTACAATGCCTACATGGGGACTAGGTTGTGTTTTGCTGAGGGGTTTCAGAATCTAAAGATTCTAGATATAGTTCAGATGCAACATCTGAAAGAAGTTGTGATAGAAGAAGGTGCGATGTTTGAGCTACAGAAGCTTTATGTCAGAGCTTGTAGAGTGTTGGAGTTGTAAGTGCAAAGATGACACCACAATATAGTACTGCAGAAGATAAATCAAGAGACAAAATAGATACAAGCAACACCTTTGCTTTATTAGAAATCATCTTTAAACAATCTATTACAAGACCTTGTTTATCAGCTTTACACAGCCTGTTAACACCCTAACAGCTGCTAATGAAAGATTCCTAATCTACCCAAACTTGTCTCTCCATCGTCAGTACCTCAGCAACTGCTTCGGCACGACCCAAGAACACCCTAAGGGATTTTCACCCTTCCTCTATAATAAAAGCCCCAAGTGTCTTATGGAATACACACGACTCCATAGCTTTTTTATAGTGATCTCCACGTCCTGAAACCCTAGTCTCCAAGGCAACATGGATATATGGACAACTTCCATATTAATAAGTACACTTTCCTTTTCTTGGATTTGTACTTATTCCTCAAGGCATAAACTTGCTCCTCAAGTTTATCTCTTGCCTTTTCTCCACAGTATAAACTTGCTCCTCAAGTTTATCCCACGCCAGCTCAGCATCTTGCATCCACATGGTCTCTACCACTCCGCATGCCTCCTGGTTCACTCTCTGACACACACTGCATCAGCAACTCCTTCAACGACTACGTCAAGACATAAACCTCCAGTTTATTCTTCTCCATCTCAGCATATCCTGCATCCACATGGTAACCCACCACTCCGCATGCCTTATGTAGTAACGACTAATGCCTCCAGCATCAGTGACTTCGTCGCCTAGTTAGTTACGGAAGACCATTGACATCTACAAGCTCCACTTGCATCTTCAATCTCCCCCTTTTAGCTTTGTGTGCCAATCAAGCACAATACTCTTCTGGTTCAACAACCACGTTCCCCCACCTGGAAACTTTCACACTCGATATGCAATTCTCCCCCACGAGACTTGCACTATCTTCATCTTCATACATAGATATGCTCTTCTCCCCCACGAGATATGCACCATCTACATCAGGACGTCCATCACCATGCTCTTTTCCCCCACGAGATATGCACTCCTTGGACCAGAACGTCATCACTTCTCCCCCTGCTTGATTGCATACTAAGCTAAAACATAGATGCTTAGATGTCAAGCCTTCTTTCACAGACACACCGCCTGCTCCTTCATGAGTACTGCATCAGCCTCTGACGCATCCGCCGAACTACTTCTCGAACAGCTCCTTGCCTTGTCTTGGCTCCTTCGACTGGACTTCTTCCCCTCTGTTGTGACCACCGTAGGCTCCTCCCATGCAGTCTTCACAGCTATCCACGCACCCTCATTGATTCCTCGAACCAACAACTTCATGCGCGCCTTCTCATGACCAAACTGGCCATCAACCAACAAGATTGTCTTCTGCAAACAACCGTGTACATCTTCACCTTCAGGATCACACCAGTAACTTAGGTGACCCGCTCTGATACCAATTGTAAGTGCAAAGATGACACCACAATATAGTACTGCAGAAGATAAATCAAGAGACAAAATAGATACAAGCAACACCTTTGCTTTATTAGAAATCATCTTTAAACAATCTATTACAAGACCTTGTTTATCAGTTTTACACAGCCTGTTAACACCCTAACAGCTGCTAATGAAAGATTCCTAATCTACCCAAACTTGTCTCTCCATCGTCAGTACCTCAGCAACTGCTTCGGCACGACCCAAGAACACCCTAAGGGATTTTCACCCTTCCTCTATATTAAAAGCCCCAAGTGTCTTATGGAATACACACGACTCCATAGCTTTTTTATAGTGATCTCCACGTCCTGAAACCCTAGTCTCCAAGGCAACATGGATATATGGACAACTTCCATATTAATAAGTACACTTTCCTTTTCTTGGATTTGTACTTATTCCTCAAGGCATAAACTTGCTCCTCAAGTTTATCTCTTGCCTTTTCTCCACAGTATAAACTTGCTCCTCAAGTTTATCCCACGCCAGCTCAGCATCTTGCATCCACATGGTCTCTACCACTCCGCATGCCTCCTGGTTCACTCTCTGACACACACTGCATCAACAACTCCTTCAACGACTACGTCAAGACATAAACCTCCAGTTTATTCTTCTCCATCTCAGCATATCCTGCATCCACATGGTAACCCACCACTCCGCATACCTTATGTAGTAACGACTAATGCCTCCAGCATCAGTGACTTCGTCGCCTAGTTAGTTACGGAAGACCATTGACATCTACAAGCTCCACTTGCATCTT